TCATTATAATAGAGTCAAAACAGCTCAACCCTGTACTTTTCAAGAACTAGAGACTATTCTCCAATTTTATGACTGTTTCCCAGACTTATAATCAGCATCTACACACTGCTGATCATGTATCCTAATACTGAAAAAAGAAAGATGCTGTTTCTCTAGAAGATAATAGTTTCTTATTTCCCCCTTCATAAACTGCATTAATCATGAGGAGATTTTAGCAGTAAATTTTGTAACTGATGCTCATCTCATGATCTGACAGAGAAAATAATCAAAATTGAATTTTCTCTCTGGCAAAACTTTGTCTATCACCAGAGTATGGAATACATGGAAATGGTTTACACAGGGTGTTTTTTATTTGTTTTTTTTTTTGTTTGTTTTTGCAAATAGGTGGCTGTTTATGAAAACATGTTAAATGTATTCCCCAAACTATTTCCTCAGACAGAAGATTGATCTGAAATAAAGGAATATGAGAGACTCAACTACTTGTTTTCTATGTAACCTCGCTTCCTTTCCCCTGTCATCAATTATTAGGCTCCACTTTCTATGAAGGTCACAAGATAGCACTGATAATTTATAAACAGCTGTAAAAACTGCTATTTAGATTCAGAGTGACCAGGTTAGTAGCATGAGGGGAATTGGCTAACCCATTCATTTTTCAATGATGAATTAGCTTGAGTTCAATGAAATCACAAACTAAGAAAAATCACAAGGCTTCTTTGCAGAAATAAAGTCACAATTTCGAAAGGGTTCCAGATTTTGATGAGTCTGCTGCCACTATACAGAAGCATACAAATATGACAGCATTGGGGGACAGTTTTAATGAGTATCAATTCTAAAATGGAATTCCTTAAAAAAAAAAAAAGGGAATCTTGAGCACAGGTAGGGCCCAAATAAAAGGACTGCCATTTATTCTGACATCTTATCTCTGTCTCTTCCTGTCACATCCAGCAAATACTTTTAATATATTATTTATTTTATATTATCCTGAGTGATAAAAACCTCCCACTTGGATGCAATTGTCAGAGAAGGAAAATACAGCTTCACCAGCCCAAAGGCATAATCCCAACCGGCACCTGCTTCCATTTGGAACCAGTTGCTTCTAAAATGTCTCACATGACATCTCATTTTTATAAATTCTTCACTCTCTCTTGAAATTCTCTATTTCAGTTGCCAATGAGAATTTAAAGCTTTTGGAAGAAATATTCGTCAAAACTGACGTAACTGTGAATGACTGACACCAATCAAGAGAGAAAAAAATCACATAATGTATTAGAATTTTACTCACTAAACAGCTTCTACTCAGTCCATCTGCATGTAATGGGTGTGCCAGAAATTGGACATGCCTGTAGATGCTTATAAGCACAGTTTGGCTTACATATTGTGCTGTTCCACACTGCTGAAAGATGAAATACAATTCTCCTGAAGGGATTTTACATTTTGGAAAAAAAGAAACTTATGTAATAGAAAAATTATAGATTTTGACCCTCAGGTGACAAGCTCCAAATCTGTATTCTCTTGCTAAGTTGATTTTTTTTTCTTTCTTTTTTTTTTTTTTTTTTTTTTTTTTTTGTATTTCTGAGCAGCAGTTGTCCTTCTTCTTAACCAAGGATGTGGGCCATAGGCACTTGGGACATTTTTTTCCATGAGGTACAAGTTCAGACTCCACCTGAGTCATCATCCTGACACCCTGGAGTGTGGTCTGGGCACGTGTATTTTGAAAAGATCAGTAGGTGATTGTGAAATGCATCCTTGGTTAAGAACAACTATGCTACATCTTATTTTATAGGTAAAAAATACTCTGACACACACATGTGCATACACAGACCACTGTAATTCTACTTTATCACTCACGGTGTTCTCTAAATGTTCTCCTTTGCCATCCCATTCTTCCCTCTGAATTTCTGTCTTTAAAACTGTTATGGAGCTTTCCATAGTCAGGTAATTCTCCTAGACAAATTTTACGCTAAGTCAGTATACTTTAGGCACTCATTTATAGGGGCAAAGTAGCAAATGAGATCAGCTACTCTTTCCAAAACAATCCACTTTAACACAGTCATAACAAATTATTTATTCGGCAGAGTCTGTCTGTTGGGGTAAAGACTGAGAAGAACGAAAGAACAAGATGTGACCCTGCTGGGTTCAAGCTACACAGAGCTGAAATTGAAATAAACAGATAGGCAAGTTACGTGACCACATAAGGCAGCATGTGATTCAGGGTTAAATTCCTAGTACTCTAAGGATGCAGGGGAAGCTATGCTCACTCCAGTCCCAACAGTCAGGCCCCACTTCGGAGAGGGCCTGTGATTTGAAGAATGGTGAAGTGATAAATGGGTAAAGCAGAAGAAGTTCCTTGCCTGGAACACCACACACAAGGCAGGAAGGAAAACAGCACGGGCAGTGAAAACACAGCCCTCTAGAAGAACAATGTGATTTAGGTGACTGACATCAAACAAGCAAAAGACAGACTGTAGTTATCAGGCTCAGGGACCTAATATTTATCCTATATTTTCTTTAAACCATCAAGGTTTTAAAGCATTAGAACATGGGGAAAGTAGTATTTTAGAAAAATAATTTGGGATTGTTGGTAGCAAACAAAATGTCTATGTGTATGCAAGATAAAAAATAAGGAGACGTATAATAGTATATTGGGCTATCATGGTGAATTTACAAAGAATTAATAGAACTCAGTGGCTGATTGACTTAAGTTTCCAGCCTATGACAAAACAGAAGCATAGAAAATAGGAAAAATGAAGTCAGGAGTAGAAGCAAATTAGAATTGCCAGTTGGAACTCGCAGAATGATGCCTTAGAAGAAACATCTGCACTGTACACATGGCTTTGGAAGAAGCTGGTGAGAGGAAATTATTTTAACACATAGAATGGAAGGTAGAGTAAGAAAAAACATGAAGACTAAATCTGGAGTATCATTAACACGTTAACGACCACAGAGCAAACACAGAATAAATGATGCAAACAAAACACCTTGAAAAGGCAGGAGAATCTAGTGGCAACTCAGAAACCAAAGACAAAGAGAGTTTCAAAACAAAACTTCATCAATACTATATCATACAACAGAGAGGTCAAAGGCCACGGACACGGACCCAGTTCTAATCCCAACAATCCCCTGTGCACCCCAACCCACAGTTGATCTTTTTCCTTTCATCTTTATTACTGACTATCCATACCAATCCTACAACACACATATCTGGTTATTTTCTAATATCTATCTTCCACCTACACATACTCGGATATTATGTCTTATTTCCATGACACTATCACAAAGTTTCTCGGGGGAAGAAATGATAATCATCTTTTATGCACCACCTCCTCCCCATCATTGTGTCTCCACATTGCCATACCCCTAGCAATCATTTAGAAGCATTTTTAATTGATTACAATTATGACTGTCTTATTTATTGCGGTATACACATAATGACCTATTGAATTCATGGAGAAGACAGAACTGGTCTAGTGTTAGTACTTGCTACATAAAGTATGATCTAAAGACCAACAGCACCAGCATCACGTGGAAACTTGTTAAAAATGTGCCATCCCAGACCAAGTAAATCAGAGTCCGCATTTTAACAAGATTCCCAGGTGACTGATGCTTATGCACATTGGTATTTGAGAGAAATTGGTCTAAACTCAGCATAGTAGGGGCTGGCACCAAGTTACCGAAGTTAATTGGAGGAAGGAAAGATGGCACATGAGTTTCAGCATGTAGACATGTGCTGAGACCCAACTTCACCCTTGCTTACACTCATGGCTCAAAGACAGGTCCCAGGCCCTTTGAATATATGGCAGGGCCAAGCTGGGAAGCAATTCTGGCATTTGACCAGGAGCCCAGATACATAAATCCTTCTCCTATAAACTGCCAGTAAGTTCACTTACTGAGAGCGCTTTGCTGATTGTATCTACCAGGTTGTTTTTCCAGACTTTATAAATTTTCTAAACTCCTAAAGACCCTATTTATGTTCTCCATATTTACCCAGCCCTAGGAATTTGTGATATTTTTCTGCCTTCCATTCATTTCTCCTATAACATTAGTTTTCCCCCTAAGGATACAGTTACTGAAATACTTTTTTGACATAATTGAAAGCCAAAGCTGAAAATGCAACTTCAACCCCAAATAAAAAGGGCCTGCAACTAAGACAGCTACACTGAAGGCACTATTGTTTAAATGACGAGGTGTCAAAAAAAAAAAAGCTCCCTAAAGAAGAAACTGAAGAACTATCAGAAGACATAGGAACAGCCACACCCAAAAGATAAAGACCACATGGGGTAATGACTCTCCAGGCAGATTTTCTTTTTATTTTGGGGATGTTCTCAATGTTTCAATATGTCTTTCTCTGGTTTTCCTAAAGGTAAATGCATGAAGTATCACTGCTTCAAAATAACACTGTGCTGGAAGAGCTCGCTGCACATCTTTTAATATTTTTAACAGCTTTACTGGTATATAATCTATACATCATATAAAAGGTTCACATTTCAGAGATGGAAGAGACTTCCATTCCACCCCCCACCTTTAAGCCATGCTTCACTAAACTCACCCAGAAATACAGTATAGCCATTTCTTAAAGCTCCAGGAATACAGAAGATTGTCATAATTCTCTGATAACATATGCTAATATCTCAGTTTTTATTAGTGCAAAGAACCTCTTGACTAAGTTGCCTCTGTTAAAATTCAAACTATCCACATCTATAAAAGTAACGATTTTTAATGCTATATTTCAAAGACGGCTGATTGAAAAAAACATTGTAGATCCTTTTATAATATGCTTACTTTGCAGAAACTCCATTAGGAAGTGAACTTTATTTACTGTATCCAAAGTGGAAATCACAAATTCTTACATACTACTGTCTCCTGTGTTTTTCCTGAACTATTTTCTCACCAAATTGCAGCTTTTTAAGGGCTGCTGGAGCCTCCACAGATCTGTTATTTTTCACCTCAGGATTGGCATTGGTATTAGGTCTTTTATTTAAAAAAGAAAATCAGCAACTTACATGCTCTCACAGAACCTCGTCAGCGTACTTGGCTTCTCCTGATTACGTCTTTGGCGAAACCAGCGCTGAATGCTTCGAACATCCCAGTCCAGTTGCTTGGAGAGGCCTTCCAATCTCTTTTCATCAGGATGCTATGAAACAAGGAACCAGAAAAATAATTTTCAATCCATTTTTATTTTCCCCAAAAACAGATCTGCCCTTGTCTATATCCAAGGGGGGGCGCGGTTTCCCTATTGCTTACTATCTGCTACTGAGATTTCTATATTTACTACTGAGGACTGAGGCCTTCCACTAGCAGCATGAACAAAAATAACTACTAGGACAAAAGAAGTTACTCATGAAACGTTTATAAACATGAATGTTGCTCTAATGCTTGCACTTCTCCTCATCAGCAATGTGCTTCCCGAAGGGCAACAAAAATTCAATGGAATATCCAACTAGCTGAGTCAGCCCCATCAGTCTTCAAAGGAAGGGAGTCCAGTGAAGGTAAATTTGCAAAGAGATATCATTGAAATATCTCGCTTTCTCAGAAAAAAAGAAAATGCTATACCCAATGATCACATATCAGAATAATGTAGTACAGACAAAAAGCATGGAAAAAATCTCAAAATGCCTCACTTAAGCCTAAGGTGCCATTTCTACCAAACACGGTTTATCTTTCTTCCCCATTCTCAGACCCTTTGTCCCCATTCTTCACACATTGCTCTTCTATTCCTTTTCTTGGTCATCCCTTTTTAACCATATCCCATATCAGTTCTTTTACTAAGACTTTGCATTACTTGAAGAAAGTAAACTTTGTGAAGTGGCAAGAGACAGCCCTGAAAAGACAGGCTCAATCCACTGACCTCTCTGAGCCTCAGTTTCCTCATCTGTAAAAAAGGAAAGCTTGTTTACCAACCTAAATTATATTGCAGTAAGAACCAAATGTGAAACTGTATGTAAAACTCAGCAATGTTAAATTTCCTCTTTCCTATCTGATATGTTTGGCTGTGTCTCCACCCAAATCGAGGTAACTGAATCACGGGGGCAGGCCTTTCCTGTGCTGATCTCGTGATAGTGAATAAGTCTCACAAGATATGATGGTTTTAAAAAGGGGGATTTCCCTGCATAAGCTCTCTTTTCTTGTCTGCCACCATGTGGAACATGCCTTTCACCTGCCATGATTGTGAGGTCTTGCCAGTCCAAGGAACTGTAAGTCCAATAAATCTCCTTCTTGTAAATTGTCCAGTCTCAGGTATGTCTTTATCAGCAGTGTGAAAATAAACTAACACACAATGTTCAATGTTAACATTAATAATAATTAACCCCTCTCTTCAATGTGCTAGAGAATGTCTAGCCAACAATCACATAAGGGTGTTCTACTACACAACAAAATGAAGCCACGTGAGCTCCATTCCTTTATTTATTATATCTTTGCTTAATATTAACTATGTTTATTTAATCTTTCTTTGATTTGATATTAATGCTTTAATGTAAGCGATCAGGAAAAATAACCAAAAAAGGGGCAAGGAGAAGGCACACTGACCAGCCTTGAAGTTATAAGGGTGAAATATATAAATATATATAATACCTTTCTAAAAGCAGCTCAACCAGCTCAAGGGGTCAATGCTATGGACTGAATGCCTGTGCCCCCCAAAATTTGCATGTTGAAACCCATATCCCCATTGTGACGGTATTAGAAGGGGAACATTTGAGAGGTGATGAGATCATGAGGGTGGAGCTCTCAGATTAGATTGGAAGTTATTAGAAGAGACATGAGAGAGCTTGCCCATGCTTGCATGCTCTCTCTCTCAATCTCTGTTCCCTGTGGATACAAGAGAAGATGGTCATGTGCCAAACAGGACGAGGACCTTCGCCAAGAACTCAACCATGTTTACATGCTGATCTCAGCCTTCCAGTCTCCAGAACTGTGAGAAATAAATATTTGTTGTTTAGGCCACCCAATTGATGGTAATCTGTTATGGCAGTCAGAACTGACTAGAACAGACACACACCAGCAAAACACAGTAAATGGCCTGAGGGTACAAAATGTGCTGTTCTTGTGCCTATAAATGTTATTTGCCAACTTTCAGTTGAGCATGTACTTTGAGGTTTTTTTTTTTTTAGTAGTAATGACACCATCTACACTCACCTTTGATGTCTCTCTTAATCAAAAATACAAGAAGGAGAAAAATCATTGCCTAACAATACACCCTGGCAACACCATCATCTTAACAAAATTCATTTTTAATTTCAATTTATTTTCTAAGTGAATTAATAAAGAAAAAATTCATATGGGGCAAAAATTTAAGATTATCCAAAGTTTCACCTTCCAACTTTGTTCTGAGTCTTAAAATCCCCATTCTCCCCTTCTTACTAGATAACCACAGTTTTATTATTAAATCAGTTTCTTTCCAGTATTTATGCAAATATAAACAAACTTTAATACATATTATTGTATCTTCCCTTGTCACAAAAATAGTTGCATATTACAGATATTTTTCTGGGCTTTGGGTTTTTCACCTTACAATATATACTGAAATATTTCCTATTCACTATATATAGAACACCCTCATTCTTTTGTAGAACTGTAGAAATATACCATAATTTACTTATCCATTCTGCTATTAATGGATATTTAATGGCTTCTGAGCTTGTTCTATAAACAATGCTACAGTAATTAACCTTACCTGGGCCATTTTACACGTTTCTCTCTGTGATAAGTTCCTGGAAGTCAAAGTTGTAGATCAACGGGGTCTATGCATTTGTAATTAATTTTGATATTGAAATTTATTCCCACTGATGATTTTACCAATTTATACTCTCACAAGCAAGACTGCCCATTTTCCAAAGCTTCTTCGATGGACTATAATATCAAACATTTCAATTTTTTTCAGTTTAATTCGTAACACAGAATCTCAGTTTCAATTTCCTTTTGAAGAGATAAGCATCTTTTCATGTGTTTCAAAAATCACCTATATTTCCATTTTTTAATGAACAGAATACTGATGTCTATTGCCTATTTTTTCATGATCCCTTGATATTTTCCTTGTTGATTTGCAGGGTTTCTTCATTTCTTAGGGTGGTTAAACTTGTCTGTACCAGAAGCTGCATATTATTTTCCAGTATGTCATTTGCATTTTAGAATTTGCTTTTGATGTTTTTTGCTTTTTTTACTTCCAGAAATTTGATAAAAAGATATTTGAATTTATCAGTTTTTTGTTATAGTTTCTAAATTTGGAGTCATAATTAGAAAAGCCTCCCTCATTCCCAATGTTCAAAAGATTTTCCCAGGTTTCCTTTTCATAAATTTAGGGTTTTGATTTTTATATTCAAATCTTTAGTACATTTGGAATACATACTGGTATTCAGTATGAGGAATGAATCTAACTTTTATTTGTTTCCAGATGGCTACTCATATACCATTCATCTTTTCCCCCATCAAAAATCGAAATCTTTCTTCCATTGGTCTATTTACTCATGTGCCAGTACCAGTACTATACAGTAAGTTTTCACAGAAATCTTTAAACTTTTTCTATATGAATTTTAGAATTAGCATGTCTATTTTCAAAACAAACAAATGGTCACACAAGGAACCCTGTTAGTATTTTCACTATGATCATAAGACATTCTAAAATTAACATAGGGTGAATTAATGTCTTCATTAGGTTTGTCTTGGGTCCTTCAAGACAGAAAATTTTCCTCATCCAGGTCTTGCACATACCTTGCTATGTTTATTCTTTCAGATATATAGATATATTATTCTTTCAGGTTTCTACTGAGATTAAGGTATTTTCTTACATCTTATTTTATTTTATTTTATTTTATTTATTTTATTTTATTTTTTGAGATAGGGTCTAACTCTCTTGCTCATCAGGGCTCACTGCAGCCAGGATCTCCCCGCTCATGCTCAGATGATCCTCCCACCTTAAACTCCCAGGTAGCTGGAACTAGGTATGCACTACAAAGCCTAATTTTTCGTATTTTTTCTAGAGACAAGGTTTCACCATGTTGCCCGGGCTGGTCTCAAACTCTGGGCTCAAACAATCTTCCTACCTCAGCCTCCTAAAGTGCTGGGATTAGCCAGCATGCCCAGACTGTTAGATCTGTTAATGCTTATTATTTGCACACACACACACACACACACACACACACACACACACGCACACACACATGCACACACATATATATGCTGTTGATATCTGGTTATTAACTTTGTACTAAAATTTTATATCATCTGTGATAGCTTTTCACAAGACTCCCTTTATTTTTCAGGTATATAATAATATAATAACATATTACTGAAATGCAGCCTCCATAAACAAAATAAATTTTTAGTATCTTTTTTTACTGGTACCTAGATTATAGCAAGACTCAATAAATACTTCTTTAATGTATGAATAATTCTTCACAATAGCAATAGTTTTGCCACCTGCTTTCCAATTTTTATGACTTTATTTTCTTTCTCTTATTTGCTCGTTCAGTGTAAAATCTGGCACAATATAGGATAGTGCTTACAACAGGCATTCTTACCTGTTCTGGACTTTAATGGGAATACTTTTAATTTTCTTAAGGGTCCAGGTTTGGGACTAAGATACAAATATATTTGTCATGTAACAAAAACTACCTGTCCCACTTAGACAATTTATTTTAATCAAAAAGATGTCAGGTTTCGGCATCTATGGAGTATGATGTATTATTCTCATTATATATACTAATAAAATGAATTATATTAATAGATTTTTATATAAAATTATAAATAATTCTTTTAATGTGTTACTTGGTTCAGTTTGCTATTTTTTATTTAGAATTTCCTCATCATTATTAACAATAAAATTTGGTCCCTAGTCTTGCTTTTGTTTTTTAATGAAATCTTTGTCAGGCATTGATGTTAATGTCTTATTGCTACATTAAAAGAGAAGCGTGTGGCTTTCTTAATTTTCTATGCTTTGATATAGTTTAAGAGAATTATCTCCTGTTAAGAATATGTTAGAATTTTTTGCGAGATGGACATATTGATTTACTTGACCATTGTAATCATGTCACCACATGTAAGTATACCGAAACATTGCATTGCATACCTTAAATATTTGCAAAAAACAAGGAGACAGAGCACATATAATTTTTTATATTACAGGCATGAATTTAGGCC